CAGAAGCAGAGTATAGAGCAGCTCAGGAAAATACATGGTTAAAACTTTTGATGGAAGATTGGCACCAGAAAATTGAGTATCCAATACCACTTCATTGCGACAACCAATCTGCGATTCGCCTAGCAGAAAATCCGGTGTTTCGTGCTAGAACAAAGCTTGTGGAGGTGCACTACCATTTCATTAGAGAGAAGGTCCTAAAGGAAGAAATCGAGATGCAGCAGATCAAGACAGATGACCAAGTAGCAGACTTGTTTACAAAAGGGTTGAATACTAGCAAACATGAGAGCTTTCGCTGTCAGCTCAACATGATGCAGCGAATGAGGACTAGTGCTGAGGGGGAGTGTTGAAATATCATCACTAGCCCAATAGAGTCAAGCCCAATAATTGTACTAGCCTAATAGAGTCAAGCCTAATTGTACGAGCCCAGTATATTTATTTTAGTAGAGATTTTAGGAGAAAGAGATGTAGATATTTTAGGAGAAAGATTCAATTTGTTAGGTCTAGATTCAAATCGGTTAGGTCTAGATTTAGATTGGTTAAATATAGATTGTTTACTCTTAGTATAAATACCCCCACCCTACCTAGGTTATTCATCCAAGAAATCTAAAAACAATAAAAAGCAGAAGTATTCTACAGAGTGTCTTGTATTCTCTTCTCGATTGGTCTTAATAAAGAGAGCGAGTGTTTCCCACAGTGAGTTGTGTTTCCCACAGCTCTGATACCAGGGGAGGATTGTGATTGGGAGTGTCCCACATTGGTTAATTTAGTGGAAGATCATGGGTTTATAAGTGAGGAATACTATCTTCATTGGTATGAGGCCTTTTGGGGAAGCCCAAAGCAAAGCCATGAGAGCTTATGCTCAAAGTGGACAATATCATACCATTGTGGAGAGTCGTGATTCCTAACAGATTCTTCTCTGTTTGTGTAGTTTTTACGCGGATTTGAAATGGAAACGAGAAATCTCTGTGTTTGGCTTTGTTTTGAATTTTTCTTTCGTTTTTCTTACTGCAGAGTGAACGGGTCGCTAAGGTCTACTTAGGTGTGTTTCTCACGGCGTCTTGTGGCTCCGTTTTCTTGAGATTTACGTTGCGATGACTGGTTGACTGACTGGAATCTCCGTGATTTCATTGGGTGATTCATTCAGGTACAGTAAACGAAAGTACTGTTGATTTTTTTAAATTGGGGTTTTCCCGATGTTTGCACGAGTATGGAATCATGGAAAGGACTTCACGTGATGATTCATATTTGAGGCAATGTCCCTTTTTAGGAAATGCGATTTAAGAAAAGATGCCATGGATCTCACCACACATTTCCCTGTTTTTTGATTTTGTGCTTATCTTTAACGTGGAACTCCTTTCCAGTTTTCCCATTTAATATATTTTTGTGGGGGATTGATGGGAGCTATACGTGCAGAAAAAGTAGCCATGTAGGCTATCTTAAAGGAACATGGAGATTCTTTTTGAGAGGGGGCTTTGAAGTTATTAAAGTAGGTTGAGTTATTGACTAAAGGCTCTTCTATTAATAGTACTCTAAATAATGGAAGGCTGGAACCCCTTTATGTCACCCTTTTTTTCAATGTTCATGATTCTGCCTTCTGGGTTTGTTTATTGAGTTCATGCGTGCCTACTTTTGACTCATTACTGAATTGGATATTTGTTTAATCTCAAGAAATATTGTAATGTGCAGTTTAATAATTATGTAAACGAGCTCGTTTTGTTTTATATCCATAGCTGCTATAGACTCCCTTTTTGTTAGATCTTCTGAACCCCTTGCGCTTTTGTTGTTTAATTCTGTGAGATTTTTTATCCCTTCCTAGAGATTTTTTCTTTCTCATATCACGCAGCAAGTGCTTGGTTTCGCTAGTGATTGTTTTGGATTGGTTCCGAGTATGTATCTTAGAATTAAATTCACTATCTTAGCATACCACCATCAAGACTTGTAGTCCAAATGATCATATAATGTGCAAACACATGAATTTCTCTGATAATGTGCCTGTAATTCTTACATTTCAGAACGTGATTTGGATATCTTCAATCATTCTTGCCATTTTTCTGCCCCAAGATGGAATCTGTTAAATCCTCCAATCTCACTCCAAGTAGTAAGAGTAGATTGGCACGTGCTTTTACCAAAGTACTTCACATCCGAGCTCTAACTGGGATAAGTCCCGTTCCTGGAATTCAGAAAGTTAAACCACAAGAAAGGATCAGTGATGATTGCACAGCAAGTAGAAGTACGGGTAGTCAATCTGAGTCTTTTGATAGTGGTGAAGAAGAGTTTCAGAACAGAGTCCAATTGCAAGCATTGGTTGCAAAATTGTTTGCTAGCATCTCATCAGTCAAAGCTGCATATGCCCAGTTACAGTATGCTCAATTCCCTTATGATGCAGAAGGCATTCAAGGCGCTGATCACTGTATTGTCTCAGAATTGAAAGTGTTGTCTGAATTGAAACAGTGTTACCTTAAAAAACAGTTTGATCCTTCACCAGAAACCACGATGCTCTTAGCTGAAATTCAGGAGCTAAAGAGTCTCGTGGGAACATATGACATAATGGGGAAAAGATTGGAATCCCAAGCAATACTGAAAGGTTCTGAAATCGTGTTTCTTAGAGACAAGATTGAGGAAATTAAAAAACAGAATAGGTTGCTCGAGAAACGTTTAGATCAAAGCGGGCTGTATTCTGTCACCGGTGATCACTTATCGGGAGTAAACGCTAGCCATTTCATTAAAGTTCTTGGGCATACAATTAAGTCTGTTGGAAGTTTTGTCCGGATGATGGTGGATGAAATGAAATCTTCTGGTTGGGATGTTCATGCAGCTGCGACGGAAATTGAACCCGATGCTGTTTATTGGCATGATAATCATAGGCGCTTTGCATTCGAGACATATGTTTTCAGGGAAATGTTCGATTCCTTCCATATACTCAACTTTGCCCTTCCAAATGAATCCTTGCCGGAAGAAAGGAAACAGAAGCAGTTTTTCCTTGCAAGATTTATGGAGATGAAGCTTAGGAAAGCAAAGGATTTCCTTTCACAGAATCCTAAATCAACCTTTGCCAAGTTTTGTCGAGTTAAGTACTTGAGGCTTATTCACCCCAAGATGGAATCATCATTATTCGGTAATTTGGACCAGAGAGGCCTAATCAGCTCCGGTCAATTCCCCGACACAACCTTCTTTAGCACATTTGCAGAAATGGCAAGATGGGTATGGCTCCTGCATTCATTAGCTTACTCCATTGAACCGGAGGCCTCCATCTTTCAAGTAAGGAAGGGATGCCGATTCTCAGAGGTCTACATGGAAAGTGTCATTGATGAAGTGTACCTTTCACCTAATGCCGACCCAGTTGTGGCACTTACTGTCATTCCTGGCTTCATAATTGGTAAAACTATAATCCAATGCCGGGTCTATCTCTCACAGTAATTTATTATTTATGAGTATCAACTAATAATTCATAGTATTGGCCCCTTCACCAACTCAAAGATCAAGCTGTTTAACAATTTATTATGTCTCGAATTTGGACAAGTTGCTGCACATACTGTGACGGAGAGACAAAACATCCTACCTCGGCAAGGCAATCCAAACGAGTAAGTGCAATTTTCTAGCCATTTTGAAGAGAAACCGCGTGGACTGAAGTGTTTTAGATTAGTTGTCATATTTATCTTGACTGAAAACCATCCCATCAAGTTTTGTTAATATCATATTATAGGTCGGTGACAGAGGGTTGGTCTAGCTGTTGTGCAACACAACCAGACATCATTGCATGTACATATAAATAGCAATAAGTATTATATAATTACATGTATAGTTAGATCGATGGGACATGAGACAAATATCTCATTTTTTACATTACATCTCTTCTCTCGTAGTCTAATTATTCGAGTCCTTGGATTCTCTGCTAAGCTGCAACATATTGCCAAAATTCTGTGTTATGTACGTATCTCTTTGTTTTAATATTGCTAGTGGGATGCTTTGCTTTCCCGGTTCCAAGAATCTTTAATAGTATGTAGTGGTTTGTTTTCAAATGTTTTCTTCAGTGTACGTAGGAAACTGTGATGGGTGCTCTGTAGCTTTATTGGATTGCACAAATGTTTTCTTGAGCTGTTTCCACGATATTATAAGATTCTTATGGCCCACATGATACTGCTGCCGCTGATTTTAATAGGGTCGGTGATGTTGGGCCATGTGACTGCATAGGGCCCCTTTGCACATTCTTTGTTTTCTATACAAAAGGAAGAACGGCATTGTTTGTGATGGGTACGCATCCTTTGATTCTTTGTTCTTATATTTAATGCTGAAATGTTTGATTTAATGTCCTCTTGGGACAATTTGATCAGTCTACCTTCTCAGTTGTGAGAACAAATGCATGTTCAATGTTGTATATTATATATTATATGATTTGATATGATGAAACTCATTACTCTTTTTTCTTTTCAACCGAATCAACATGAATATAAGATTTAATAGGATGGAACTCGTTACTCTTTTTTCTTTTCAACCGAATCAACATGATTGTAAGATTTCCGTCCTCTTTCAAATAGGGTTTGATTTAGGTTTCTCTCATAACTCAAATTGTGGGCGTGCGAAATGTATACCTTCATAGGTTTGACTTGACTCGACTTAACTTGGACTGAGGTGAACTTTTGATTTTCATGGCCCAGGAGCTTCTTTACTTGGGCCCGACGTTACCACAAGTTTTGTACAAATTTTTGTTTGGCTTGTAGGTATGCTATGTCTTTTTGATTTGATTCTATTGTCTAAAATTCCTTGATGTTTAACTCAAAAATTACTTGATGTTTAACTCAAAATTATGATGCGATTAGATAGGTACCTTCTACCATAAAGGTTAAGCCTAATCAACGCAAAACTTAAAGGTAAGTATAATTAATGATATGAGTCTAAATTTCCACAAATGCCTTAAAAAATAAAAATAAAAAAAACTAGAAACGAACAAAATAATATTGAAAATAATCATTTAGCTTTGCTAAAGCAACTCTATTATTTGAATATTAAATATTTATAAAAACCACAATGACAAGAAATTACAACAAACAGACAATTTAGCATATAATCTCTGACTGCTTTATTTAATTTAAATTACACAAAAAAAAAAAAACACATTTTATTTCATGTGACGCTGCCTTTACTATTACCAACATGGTGTAGATAAAGTGTTAATTTTAGGTCTTTAATTCTTAATGTTGTCATGGTCGTCATCATCATGATCATGGTCATGGTTGTGGTCATGGTCGTCATCATCGTGATCATGGTCATGGTCGTACTGTTCATGGTGATCATCCAAGCTATTGACATTAGCGTCATGATCATGGTCATGATCATCGTAGTCATGATCGTCATGGTCATCCTTGTCATGATCATCGTGGTCATTATCGTCATGGTCGTCCTTGTCATGATCATCGTGGTCATGATCGTCATGGTCATCCTTGTCATGATCATCGTGGTCATCCTTGTCATGGTCATCATGGTCATGATCATCGTGGTCATCATGGTCATGTTTGTCGTGGTCATGATCATCGTCATGGTCATCATAGCGGTATCCAAGGCCGTGGTCGTGATCATCATCATGGTCGTCACTCTTTACAACACTTTTCTTTTCCTCTACATGAATGAAAAAAACAAAGTTCAAATAACATCAAATAAACTACTACTCAATTTAAAAACTTAACTATATAAATTTAAAACATGGATATACATTAACCTCATTCTAAAACAAATTCATATAACCCTAAAAATCCATCTAAAATTCAAATAACAACAAATTTAAATTCACTCTAATACCACACTAAATAACCAACATCAAAACTTATATACAAAAACAAATTTGATCTTTTCGAAATATTCTCAACAAATAACGAAAAATAGATCGCTCAACTTCGAGCATAAACTAACCAAGTAAACGAGCCGAGACATGAGAGGAGACGTAAAGAAGAGCGAGGAGGAGGCCGAGAAGGAGAAAGGTTTTAGAGTAAGCCATTTATGCTTTGTATGTTAATACTTTGGTGCTTCAATATTGCATTATGAGGTGCCAATTTATAGGAGGGTGGAGGCTGTGTTGGGTGATGAATGGGCTTTGGGGTTAGTCAAAAAGTAAGTATTGTGGTTGAAAAAAACCCACAAAAAATAAATGAACATATCTTGTGATGATCCAAAACCAACCCCAATTTTGACCTTTAATTACAACACATCGTTTAAATTCAATTCTGTTCTTGACCTTTAATTATTTTTAAATTGTTTCATTTAAGATTTCATCTTTGATTACTTCAAAATGTTTGAAATTTCTTCATATTTGTTCATGTTTTCATCACCTTTGGAATTTGGTCAAATTCATGGTTTCAAATGTTGATTTTTGACCTAATCTTAAAAGCATCAACCATTAATGTCAAATGTTGAAGAAAAGTAAACTTTACATTTGTTAATGGGCCGACCCAAGATTGGTGAAACAGGCTCGGGCCCATCAAACGTGTTGGGTTGGATCGATCGAAAACGACACGAAATAGACACACGTTCAAAACGTTTGAGACATAGTAAGTACCACACTGATGTTTGGGTTCTTTTCTCATAGGTTTGTAAATAGTTGTTCAGTGTCACAATCACACTCTTTCAAGACAACTCGTCCGTGTGAGTGTGATTGTACGACACTTACTCGTCCTTGATAAGTTAGCCAACTAAAAATTGGATCGTCATTGACTTGTATAATATATGTCCAAACCTCCGATCCTAACTCTCTTGGAAAGCGATTTTAGAGAATAAACAACGGACAATATTGATAGCATAAAACTCGAAAATGAAGAATTGTAAACAAACGAAGATGATTTGTAATGGGTATGTGGGTATAGACAACATGTCCAAGCATGACCATGACACCGAGCATCCAACACAAAAAAAAAATTAAATATTATTTTATTTCTTGAATTTTAAAACTTGTCCCGATTTTGGTACCACTTTTGTCTCTCGAATATCTTAACTTCTAATTGTACGAAAGTCAAGTTCGACACTTGATGGTCCCGACATTCCTCTACGATATGGTCACATTGTCTAATTCTCGCTACTTCTCAGAATGAAGACTATACCCACGTAGTACTAAATAATAATTTAAAAAAATTATCGAATAAATCAACCAATCATTCTCGTTTAAAATGACACAAAATTTTCTAAATAAAATATTATATTAAATGGTAAATTGACCAATAATAAGTAATAGTTATTAATGTATGAAACCCTATTTTCCAAGGAGTTTCACATTTATATTTAATATTTTATTTATTAAATTAAAATAATTTCAAAAACATTATAATATCTGCATCGATATAGTTTATGTCGTTATCGTAAGCTTTTCCTTTTCGATATTATAAAGTTTAAACTATCGACTTCAAATAAATAAATATTTATTAATTACCACTTTAGTAAGCTTAATTTTACCGAAGACAAATAAAATTAAAATTAAGAGTTCTATATATTAAAACGATCAAATACAAACAACCCTTTATTGTCCCCGACAACGACAAACTAATTAGGATCCCACATTCACGTGTGTATAACAATAACCTAAGTTCAACTATTATAACATTCATAAAATCTAGATTCATAGAATGAGAAAAGGAAAAGCTAATAATATAATCTTGTCATACGCCAAGATCTAGTCGCCACCGCCGCTGAAGGGAGCGGGATTTTCCCGGTTGCTCGGGGCAGAGGGGGGTATGGGGCCTCTTGGGAGAGAGCCGAGTAGCATGTCGAAGTCGACGACGCCTATTGAAGGCAGCTTGGTGTCCTTGTGGTAGAAGCTCCTGATTGCTAAGGTGGTGTGAGGTTGGCAGAGGAGGAAGGCCAGGAACAGGCATGCCGCCATCGTGAACTTTTTGGTGCACATCGGAGTTGGGTAGGTAATGGCTTGGAAAGGGACAGGGTTTGTAGTGTTTGTAGTAGTTGTTGATGATAGTTTGAGAAGTTGGTGTGTGGTTCGTGGGGTATTTATAGGGAAGTTTTTAGTGATAAAAGTGTGAGAGAGAGAGACGTATGGGTCAAGTAGGAGGTGCTGCTTACGGCTGCTTTAATAACAAAGAGGGCCACTTTGTTTTGTCTCTAGATGCCATTATACTATAAACCATACTTATCTTATATACGAGTTCAAGCCTATAGCTAGTAGATATTATCTGTTTTGACTCGTTACATATCGTCGTCAGTCTCACGGTTTTAAAACGCGTCTACTAAAAAGAGGTTTCCACGCCCTTATAAGGAATGTTTCGTTCTCCTCTCCAATCGACGTGGAATCTCACAATTTATCCCTCTTGGAGACCTAGTGTCCTCGTTGGCACACTGGCCAGTGTCTGGCTCTAATACTATTTGTAACAGCTCAGGCTTATTGCTAACAAATATTGTCCGCTTTGGCCTGTTACATATCGTTGTCAGACTCACGGTTTTAAAACGTGTCTACTATGGAGAAGTTTCTACACCCTTATAAGCAATGTTTTGTTTCCCTCTCCAACCGATGTGGGATCTCACAATTCATCTCTCTTGAGGACCGAACATCCTCGTTGGCACACCACCCTGCTAGCAAATACTGTCCGCTTTGGCCTGTTACATATCGCTGTTAGACTCACGATTTTAAAACGCGTCTACTAGGGAGAAGTTTCTACACCCTTATAAGCAATGTTTTGTTTTCCTCTCCAACCGATGTGAGATCTCACAATCCATCTCTCTTGAGGACCCAGCATCCTCGTTGGCACACCACCCTGCTAGCAAATACTGTCCGCTTTGGCCTGTTACATATCGCCGTTAGACTCATGATTTTAAAACGCGTCTACTAGGGAGAAGTTTCTACACCCTTATAAGAAATGTTTTGTTGCCCTTTTCAATCGATGTGGGACCTCACAATTCATCTCTCTTGAGGACCCAGCATCCTTGTTGGCATACCACCTGGTGTCTAGCTCTAATACTATTTGTAACAGCTCAAGCACACTGCTAGCAAATACTGTCCGATTTAATCCGTTACACATCGCCGTCAGGCTCACGATTTTAAAACGCGTCTACTAAGGAGAAGTTTCTACACCCTTGTAAGAAATTTTTCATTCCCCTCTTCAACCAATGTGGGATCTCACAATTCATCTCTCTTGAGAACCCAACATCTTCGTTGACACACCGCCTAGTGTCTAGCTTTGATATATTTATAACAGCTCAAATCCACTACTAGCACATATTGTCCGCTTTGGCCCATTACATATCGTCATCTGTCTCACAATTTTAAAACGCGTTTACTAATGAGAGATTTCCACACCCTTATACGTAATATTTCGTTTCCTTCCCAACGAACGTGGGATCTCACATATTCCATTTTTATTATATTTAACAGAAATATATATTTCACAAATTAATTTAAACATAACTCATCTGACCAACACATTTTTGTCACAATTTTAATCCTTTAAAGCTCGTAAATTAAAGAAAGAACGACCAAAACGACATCTTAATTGAGAAAATTATAGCAAGTAAGAATTTTTTTGGGTTAGTTGGTTTCATAATTACATTTCCACACATTGAGGGGTGTGGCTTTCCTTTTAGCAATGGCTGCCTACATACCTATATGCTTACTTTTATACATATAATATATGGTTTGAATTCCCACGTGCATTTATATATACCACATTAACTTATATGTAATGTGGGATTTTCATTTTTTTCTATCGAACTATCATAGTTTCGTTTCGTTTAGGTTAAATGAATGGGTAGAAGTTGTTCGTTCAATACATTATTTCTAATTATCTTTCAAATTATTATTTTAAAATTTAGCAGTTTAACCGACCTCGAAACATCCGTATCAAACTTCCACTTGACTCATATGTATAGAGTTAAAGATGTTTATTGGAGTAAAAAATAGGAACACGAAAGACTCGTTGTACCACCCTAAGATCTAGGGCTAGCAAATATTGTTCTCTTTGAACTTTCCCTTTCGGGCTTCCCCTCAAGGCTTTAAAACGCGTTTGCTAGAGGAAGGTTTCCATACCTTATAAAGGGTGTTTTGTTGTCCTCCCCAACCAACGTGGGGCATCACAATCCACTCCCTTTTGTGGCGAGCGTCCTCGCTAGTACTCTTTTCTTTCTCCAATAAATGTGGGACCCTCACCAAATTCACTCCCTTTGGGGCCAGCGTCCTTACTGGCACACCGTCGTGTCTACCCCCTTTGGGGAACAACCTTCTCGTTGGCACATAGTCTAGTGTTTGGCTCTAATACCATTTGTAACGACCCAGATCCACTGCTAGCAAATATTGTCATTTTTGAGCTTTTCCTTTCAGGCTTCCCCAGGCTTTAAAACGCATATGTTACAGGAAGGTTTTCATACCTTGTAAGGAGTGTATTGTTGTCCTCCTCAACCAACGTGCGACATCAAATATTTTTAAAAAAATGATTTAACAAAATTAAAAAATAAATTATTGTGGAAGATCTATTTTCAAAATTGGGGGAATAATAGAGGGTCCTTATTGGACAGGGATGAATGAGTAAATAATATTTTATTATTATTATTTTAATCATTTTTTATATTCTAATTATTTAAATCTCAAATTGTCTAATAATTTTGTGGGTTTTCTCATAATCTATCATAGAAGAAATTTAATCATATGTAATTTATTATATTAATGCATAATTAATCAATTAATTAATTATTATAATGAGAGATTAGGTCAATAGCGTGAAATCAACAAAAAGATGCAATCCACGTGGATTATTGGACTTTGTTGTTAATGTAAGTTGCCAAGTGGGAGGAGAAACAACATCATTTCTTAGGCTAACTTTTGGTGTCAATATAGGTCGGAAAGCGAAAGAGACGAAAGAGACGATATACTATTTCCATGTCATTCTATATTTTTACGATTACGATCAATATTTATAAACTATCAACTTAATTATATATGTCTTACCGTTGGATGAAAGTCCCACGTCGACTAATTTAATGAATAATCATGAGTTTATAATCAATGAATACTATCTCCATTGGAACGAG